AGTGGGAAACCTGGTACAGCCGCCTGAAGCATTTCGAATAGGAGTCTGCCAGTTCAGGCGTGATTGAGTCTGGGACTGCAGGGTCAAGACCAGGGTGGCCACAGCATCCTAGATCTTGCAGGGCATCCCGGCTCCGCAGGCCATTCACCCCCTTCTTTCCCGTGCCCAGAACTCCAACGTGGAGAACTTGCCCCCCCACATTATCCGCCTGGTATACAAGGAAGTGACAACGCTGACCACAGACCCGCCCGATGGCATCAAGGTCTTTCCCAATGAGGAGGACCTCACCGACCTGCAGGTCACCATCGAGGGCCCTGGTGAGTGTGGGAATGGAGGAGAGAGGAGTGCACTTCCTAGATTGTTCGGCATGTTTAGGACAAGAACAGGAAGCTCTAAAGTTAAGAGCTGAAGTCTGCCAGCTGCTGCTGGCGACATAGTGGTAGAGAGGTCAGATAAATTTCTTACTTCAGAGATGCTCAGTCTGCAAGGCAGGACACCACAAATGACAAATAATTGTATTTATTTGTTCCATAAGTGTTGTGAGAAAATCCTGGTCTCTGGGTACATTTTGTGCGGGCCTCACCTAGGGCTGAGGTGAGGCTGTCAGACATAGGGCCCCTTGGGCCTGTAGGTGGGTAGGAATTCAGTGAGGGTGGATGGGAGTAGCATGGCAGGCTGGAGGGAAGGCCTAGCTAGTGACCTCAGACTCCATCCTGCTGTCAGTGTCAGAGACTCCTGGGACATGGCAGAGGACGTGCCCAGAGGCACCCCTGGGGGAGACGATGGTGGTGTAGCTGAGTGAGTGCACATGGCTGCTTCCCAGCGCAGTGATTTAGCAGATCACCACGTTTCTGTCGTTGACTTACAAAATTAGCCAAGGCGTTAAGAGTGTGGTAAAGGACATGGTCAGGAGTGAGGACAATGGGGTGGGGCCCAGGAAGATGTATTTAGGTGACTCCTGGATGGAGGGCAGGGGAAGAGAATCTGGAAGAGCCCTGAGGCAGGTGCTGTGGGAACTTTGCAGGAACAGAGAAGGTAAGGGGCTGGGGAAGCTTTTAGGAAGTGAGTCTTTGAGGGCTGTAGACCTCCCTGTAAGAAGTTGGGAACAGAAGCTGTTGGCAGGTTTAAAGGTGATGTGACTGGTCCCTGCAGAATTGCCTTTGACTTCAGGGGACTGGAAGCCATCGACCACTACTGGCACCGGGTGAACGGTGAAGTGGTTCAGCTGAACTAGGAGGTGGGGTTCAGGAGCGGACTCTGAGGTCTGCTGTCATGGCTACCAGTGGGTCAGCTGTGAGGATTGGGCATGAGGAACAGCCATGTGTCTGGGCCAGCACCTATGGCTTTTTGGTCTGGTCAAGTGGGTGGACAGGAGAACTGTTGATTGAGACAGAGAAGGCCATGAAGTTGACAGAATGGTCTCACCATTTGCTGACAAAGCTTCTAAACAGATGTCTTTCCAGGAAGATAAGTGGTTGCGAGGGTCTGCCTCTTGGGAAGAGTGTATGACAGGGGCCTTCACATGGGAGAGAAGAGGCATCCAAGGACGAGTGGAGACCAAGATTTGGTGGCAGCACAAGTGGGGCCACAGTCAGGGGGGGTTAACGGAGGGGGGTACCTGTGGGCCCTGGGGTCCGAGCCCCATCCCATGCTCCAGAATCCCCAGTCTAGAGGAGGCAGCAGAGCACTTGCCTCCCACCCTGACTGTGAAGACAGGGCTCTGGGATTTGTGGGGTGCCTGGGAGTGCAGAACCTCCTGACCCAGTGCCCCCACTCTCCAGAGGGGACCCCATACGCTGGAGGCCTGTTCCGTATGAAACTCCTACTGGGGAAGGACTTTCCCGCCTCCCCACCCAAGGGCTACTTCCTGACCAAGATCTTCCATCCAAATGTGGGCGCCAACGGTGAGATCTGCGTCAACGTGCTCAAGAGGGACTGGACGGCTGAGCTGGGCATCCGGCACGTGCTGCTGGTAAGTTCTGGGGTGGGCCCAGGCCTGGACATCCCAGTCATTTCTGAGCCCCAGTGCATTGTTTCTCTTTTTTTTAAATCAACTCTGAAGTAGTTGGGGGCTTTCATGTAAAAATCCAGGTTTCCAGTTTTTCTGGAAAATTCTCGAAGAGTTGGCAATGCTGGCCCTAGGACAGCAAGTATGGTTGTACGAGTTGTTCAATACCCGGGGCACCTTTGTTTTAAACAAGTGATGGGTTAGGTTAGTAGGGCACTTTCTAACAGGTCAAACCAAGCATCTGGTGACAGACCTTCCCCCTCTTCCTTTCAGGTTGTAAAACTCACTGTTCTAAAGTCTACAGTTCGTTGTTTTTTTAATTGTCACGAAGTCTGGCAGTCATCGCCTTGTAATTCCAGAACGTTTTCATAAGCAGTTGTTTCCGAACCAGGGCTGATTTTGCCCCTTTCTGAGACTTTTTGCATTATCAGGAGACATCTAGCAGGGGAAACCAGGGGTGCTGCTGCACGCCTGCGAGGCAGGGATGAGCCCAGTGGAGACTATCTGGGTGACATTGGTGCTCCAAGGTCCCCACTGGCCACTTAAAGGATTTAGGTCAACATCTGCCTCCCCACTTTCTTGAAGCTGAAGTTTTTCTTGAAAACTGAGTTTCTAATGAGCCCCTGGGGCAGATGGTAAGAGGAGGGGAGTCAGGATTTCCTGTAGGGCACTGGGGAGGCTCAAGCTCCAAGATAAATAGACTCCAACCTTTTTCTCCCCATCCTGGAGTGTCAGCGGTAGCTGCCAAGCGACACCAGAAACAAACTTACAGAATAATTCCGAGTGTCCCTGGGGGCCATGCTGTGTCAGGCTTGGCCGTCAGGGAGCTATAGGAAAGGCCTCTGGTTGTGGGGTGCAGTGGTCAGAATTTTTGGTATGATCCTGGGTCCCCGATCATCAGTGATGTCTGCTGGGCCAGGTGCCATGTGTCATAGCAGCCCCTGCTTCCCTTTACAAGCCAGAGCGGTCACATCACCTGCTCAAGGCCAGGCATGTTCTGGGACATTCTGGGTTCCCCTTCAGAATGAAGGTAGAAGATAGAGGGCGATCCCCTTTACGTTCTTGATGCCATTCTCTCGATTGTGGGCCATCCCTGCTGGAGTCTGCTCTGCACTTGGGATTCCCGTTAAAGCCAGTGGAGGCTCAGGGCTTATGCACCTCACTATAGTGTTGTGGAAAGAGCTTTGAGGTCCAACAGGCCCTAGCGTGGGCTCCTAAGCTACGCCCCTCACCTCCTGTGTGATCCTGGGAAAGTCTCTTTCCTCCCCAGTTCAGGCCTCAATCATTGGGCCAATGGGGGTGACAGTGAGCAAAGGTGAGAGAGGGATGTGGCCATGAGTTGGGTGACTGTCCAGTCTGGGGTAACAGTGTTGAGAAAGGGAACAGCCACAAAGTTGGATATGGGTGGCTTGTGGGGCCGTGACTGGCCGGCCCCTGACCCTGTGCCCATTCCCCACAGACCATCAAGTGCCTGCTGATCCACCCTAACCCCGAGTCTGCCCTCAACGAGGAGGCGGGCCGCCTGCTCCTGGAAAACTACGAGGAGTATGCGGCCCGTGCCCGCCTGCTCACAGAGATCCACGGGGGTGCCAGTGGGCCCAGCAGTGGGAGGGCTGAGGCCAGCCGGGCCTTGGCCAGTGTGGCTGCGGCCTCTTCCACCGACCCCATGGCCCTTGGGGGCCCAGCAGGGGCTGAGGGGCCCATGGCCAAAAAGCATGCAGGTGAGCGTGACAAGAAGCTGGCGGCCAAGAAGAAGACGGACAAGAAGCGGGCTCTGCGACGGCTGTAGGGGGTTCTTCCCTCCCCACCCGACCCTCAACTGTCTCTAAGTTATTTAAGTTATGGCTGGGGTGGGGGAGGGCATGGGGCACTGGGAGGTGGATTTGTTTTTCTAAATAAAGTTGGAAAAGCAGCTGCTGTGTCTCTTAGATTCCCCAGGCACAGCCTGTTGGGGAGGTGGGCTCAAAGCAGGTGGTATCCCGCCCTCAAGTCCACACACAGTCTGTCTAGGGCCCTCAGCTCAGCAGACCTCCTGGTTGAGCTCTGGAGCTACCTTCTGTCCTCCTGTGACAGTGGAAGGAGTCTCAGCCCTCTGGAGTCAAAGTTCCCATCTGAAACAGGCTGAGGGGAGGGGGCCTGAGGCCTGCTCCAAATAGCCCAGCCAGGAGAAGGTGTGAGGGGGCTTGCTTTTGCCTCCTCAGACGAACTTTATCCATCTGCACTGGGATGAGTTTCTGTCCCCTCAAGGCACCAGATCCTGTCTTAAGATTTGTCCTGGGTGACCAAGTGTATTATTCTCGTGTGCTTCTGCAAAACGAGTCACCAATCCCAGGCCCAATAAGACACCCATCTCCCAGTTTCAGTGATGAGAAGTTCCGGTGTGGCAAGCTGGTCACTTGGCTGGGTTTCACGCTCAAGTTGAGGTTTCCACCAGCTGTATTCCTTTTTAGTCCCTCTTAAAGGTCACGATAGATTTCAGTTCTTGGGGGTGTAGGGACAGTCCTTAGCTAGGAGCTGGGGGGTTCTTTCCCCCTTGGCCACACATGTCCAACTTCAGAGCCCAGGCCTTTGAAGGGCTCAGCTGATGAAATGAGGCTGCCTGGGTACTCAATTATCCAAGGAGTGGGGACAGAGCAGCTTAGAGTGGCCCATCCTGTCCTGTTTCTTTGTCCTGCAGAGGGAGGACTGGCAGTCATACCCATTGGGCTCTGTGGAGGCTCAGGGCTTAAGGTACAAAGTGAGGGGGTGATGGTGGGAATGGGAAGCAGTGGGTCTTGGAGAAACAACGGAAGGCAGAAACAGAGCCAGAGAAGGTGGGCTGGCTTTACCTCAGTTTCTCATCCATTAGCAATTTTGTTGCCCTGTGCCGGACCCCCAGGACAGTGTCAAAAATGATCATAAAATGAGAAGAGGAAAATGTGTGTCTACACAAAGATTTGTATGTGGATCTTCACAGTTGTTTCCTTCTGTAGCAGGCAAAAAGCTAGAAGTGAGCCAAATGTTCAACAGATGAATGAGTAAAGACATTGTGAGTGTTCATACAATGAAATGCTACTCAGCAAAATATTGATACACAAAACAACATGATGAAACTCAAAAGTGTTACATGCTGAGATAAGCCATAGAAGTATAAAATATTCCATTTATATGAAATCCTAGAACAGGTAAAATTAATCACTTAATGGCTGAAAGCAGATCATTGGTGGTATGAGATCAGGGAGGATCAAATGCATGGGCATGGGGAGGTTTTGGGGTGACGAGCACATTCCAGATACTGAGTACGGTGGTGGTCACACCAGTGCGTAAGTCTGTCAAAACAAACTATATACCTAAAATAGGTGTATTTTGCTTTGTATAAAGTATGTTTCAAGCTGATTTAATTTTTTAAAATGGAGTGAAATATGAGCCAGTGGGACAAGATATTTATATTTGTAAGTCGCATAACCCAAAAGGACTAATCCAAACAATATATAAAGAGCTACAAACCAATAAGACAGCACAAAAAAAAAAGTAGGCAAAAGCACTTGATCAAACACTTCACAAAACAGGAAATATCCAAGTACATGAAAAGGCACTCATCCTCACTTGTAATTAAAAAAATGCAATGTAAGTCAAATTTGAAATCACTACACTCCCATGCAACTGGCAACAGTTACTACATAGGCTCCTGGTGGTACAGTTGAAAACACTCAGCATTCTTGCACCTATACCACAGGCTTTAAACAACCCTTGTCCTAACTTGTGCAAACAGTATAAACATACTTGCGTATTCAAGAACCAATACAACAAAAACAATTAGCTAGCACTGCTTCCAGCAGTGTGGGAAGGTGTGGGACAATCATGAACATCATGACCTGCCAAACAAGTCATAAAAGAAACTGATAGTTTGAGTCCCTTCCTACTTCATTTCCAAAAGGGCAGAGATGAGTGCTGCTGCTAAGCAGATATCCCTACCTAGTAATGATACAAGACATCACTTGTAAAATTCTTAATCTTTTTAGTAAACCTAGATAAGTCTTTTCTTTCCTCCTTTCTTTGGGAAAAAGGCCCTCTCCCTCAAATCCAATAATTGCCCAGAAAATGGTGACTCAAGTCCTCTGGCTATTGATAAGGATCATCAGTCTATTATTAGCAGAAATGGCTTTAGGCCAGACAGGGCCCTTAGAGTCTGAGAGGGGAGGGAACTTTTAGGCCAAAGGTCTTTTCATTCTTTAAGAAATATATTAACCAAACCTGTTTTCTTTTACTCAATAGGCGAATCAGTAATAGAAAATTAATAGATCTATGATTTAAATAACTAGTTCGTATCTTCCTTTCCTTGTCTAGGGACTGAGGCGGCACTTAATACGATCCAATGTACACACATGATTGAGTACAAGCAGTTGCATAGCCAACAACCTCACAAACACGTAAGGGAGGAAGTGTAGCTGTCATCCCCACTTAACAAAGGGTGGTCCCTCAATATCCATACTAATAATAAGGGGGTTCATAGCTCTTAGAAAAGAGTGAGGAAGGAAAGTTAGGGGGTTTTGGGTCTGCCTGCAAAGGCACCGAGGTCATCCTATTCTAGAAGGGGTCTGCCCTAGTCCACCCACAATTAAGCAAGCCAGAAGGCATTTGGGGGCTAAAAGTAACTCAGAGAAATAAGTGAGCAGAAAATTAAGTACTAATTAGAACCAGTCACTTGCACCTGCACAATAAAGACCCCAATACCCTCAGTTTACCTGAGCCTCATTATACCATCATTCTAATATGATGCATATGCCCAAAGTTCATTAATAGCATTATAACAGACAGTTCTGGGAATGAAAATGCGCAGAAAGCAAATTATGAATCACTGAGTCCTGTCAATCTTAGTTGTCAATCAAGAAGCCCACACCTCTAAGAAAAGTAACCACCCACAGGATAAAAATCCCAAAGGGTTTGTTACTAGGCCTTTGAGCCTCTCTTCTCTTGCCCAGGCCCACTTGCATGTCTGGAAGTGTACTATCGCTCCTAATAAAGCTTTTCTTTTCTGCTGTACTTTGGTGTCTAGCTCAATGCTTTGCTCAAGACATCAAGAACCTGGACAATGTGCCGGGGGAGGAACCCCACTCTCTGGTAACAGTAAAATTGTAAAAGTATGGAGGTTGTTTCCACAAAGCTTGGGATCTCTGATCACCTCCAACCAACAAGCAGCACGGGAGGGCTTCTGAGGGGCATTGTCTTGCTTCTTTACTTGGGTGCTTATTACACGGTGCTTCCTTTATAGTTATGAAGTGTCTAAATATTTTATGCACCCTTCCGTATGTCTACTGCATTTCAGAATTTTGAACACATGAAGCAGCTCATTATGTACATATATTGCCCAATTTCCAAAATGTTAAGTGAAAAAAAAACCCATGCAAATTGTGTATATGCTACTATTTGTTAAATTTTTAAAAATTTTTAACAAAGGATGCATGTGTATATCATTGCATATGTATTTAATGCCTCTGGAAAGTCACCTTAGCACCTGCATATATTGTCTTAAGGAAGGAGAGCCTGGAATACCCTGTGGATATTACCTATTCAAAAAGCAAAGATTTTAATTTTAAAGATAAAAGTTTCCACAAACAGTTCCCTCAGTCCTGTTTCCCCAACACCCAGTTCTCTCAGTTAGTGACAACCAGTGTGTTACTAGGTTCTTGTGTTTTTTCTGAAGACATTCTACCCAAATGCAAGCAATTTAAACATTCTTCTAAGCCCACCCCCTTTAACACATTGGCAATGTCCTGTACACAGCATGTAGCACCTTGCTTTTTCAACTTAACAGCAAGTCTTGGAAGTGTGTCCCTTTTGGCACTTATAGCCCTTCCCTTTCACTTGGAGGTAATTGGAGGGGACCGGAGCTGCAATGGGGTTCTGAGCAGACGTTAAGTCACATGGACTTAGTGCCAACAGGATGCCGCTCCATCTGGGCTGAGAACAGGCCCAAGTGGGGCACAGATAGAGGCTACTGTTAAGAGTCGAGGCAAGACAAAGAGTTTGTCAGGAAGTAGTCAGGGTCATGTCTGTTAACTGGGGAATGCTGGAGGGGTGAGGGGTGGAGGTCAAGAACTCTTCGAGGGAGCGCCACTGCCTGGCTGCCTCTGATATTCCCATCTCCCCAGGGCTTCCCCACCATACCCCAGCTGGAGGCCTGAGAGAGGCCCTTAGACCTTGGCCACAGAGCTGTAGAGTGGGAACAAGGAATGGGATCATCTCTGCACAGGGTCCCCAAGATGACAGAGACCAGGGTCCCACTTGATGCTAGATCCTCGGGCCGTGGCAGTGGCTGGCAGGTAGCAGGTACACAGAAAACTGTCAGCCATGATGTGACTTTCCCCCGATCTGCACGTGTCTACATCTGTACAGCAGGCATGACACCTGCTTCGTGGGATGTCGGCACCTGGATGAGAAATGGCCAATCCACAGGTGTATTTATGTATATGTGCATATGTACACACACATGCACATGCCACACAGAATCATTAGACAAGGTCCAGCCTCTCCCGGCACTTACGTTCTCCACACTCTGGCCAAGCTGGTGGTAGACCAGCTCAGTGTGATAAACAACACATGCAGGCAAGGGATGACGGGGAGCAGGAAAACCAGGAGAAACTTTTTTAGACAGTGATCAGACAGCTGTGACACCCTGAATAAGACAACCCTGGGGAGATGGCAATGTCAGAAGCAGCCAGGTAGTAGCGCTCGCTCGCCAAGAGCTGTGGGCCTGGAGCAGCAGGTCCAGACCCGCAGTGCCTGTGGGAAATGGGGCAGGGTCTTCTGCAGCGTGACCAAGAAGCAAATGAAGGCTGGCAGCTGGAGAGAGTAATTAATCCTACTCTAGCAGGAGGTAAAGACAGAGGGGTGGCTGGGTCCTTAACCAAAACAGGTTAATGACACAGCAGCTGGCTGGTGGGAAATCTGGGGCTGCCACCTCTCTGCTGTGTGGCTTGAGTGGGTTTCAGTGGCCCTTTTCAGGAGAGGGACAGCACTCCCAAGCTGTGAAGATTCACGAGCTTCATCGCCTATTTCAGACAAGTAGAAATGGGCACTCTTGACCCCAAACCGGCAGCCATGGAATCATGGGGCCCCAAGAGCTGTCCATCTGTCCCTAAGTGCTAGGATATACTCTTCACTATGCAAAGGGACAGCTCGCCTATACTCTGCAGGCTGCAAAAGGGCTGCTTCTGAGGCAGGTGGCACTCTCCCCAAGTTCTTGCCCTAGAGTGCAGCCTGCACCAGGAAAAGTAGCATGTCTAAGGATGAGGTTGACGGATAGCAAGACCCAAATGGTAGGCATGCTCACCTCACAGGCCATGCCAACCTCCACTGTGGGAGGTACATGGGGCAGATTTGGCCACATCTGTGTGCAACCTCAGCCTAGATCCCCTTCCGAGATCTGAGTGTTCAGGGATCTAGAATGTCAAGATCTTCCCTAAAGTTTTGTCATGTGCCAGCAGTGAAATTCTGATTTTAGACAATTTTACCTGTTTAATCTGCACTTTCTAAATGTCTCACTAAACACTGATCTCTGATGTGCTGAACAGAGAACTGACACCAGCCTAGATTCCTCGGAGGAACAGCTGGGGCTGGGCTTCCACCCCTGCACCTGGTCCCCCAACTCCCAACATTGCAACCTGTGTGGTACTGGTGGGTGGAGGAAGTCCCCTTAGGAACAAGATGTCAGTTCTGGTGATACAGCCAGAGCACTGTGGCCACACAGAAGAGAAGCCAAGGCGAGGTGGTTGAGGGTCAGCTGACACCTTTATTTCTTGGAGCAGAGGGGGGAGGTGTGTGTCTCAGGAGCTCTTAGTGGGGCGGGCCCGCTTCCTCTTCACCATCACGGGCTTCTGGCTGCGCAGGATGGCGCTGGCTCTGCGGATGGCCGCCATGCGCAGATCAGGGCGGTACTTGTTTTTGCGGATCATGTGTCGGATGCTGCTGAGGGTGGCCCGGGCATTCTTGTTGATGGTGGTCCGCACGTAGGAGGTGGCTGGCTTTCGCTGGCCTGGTGGGGGAGAAGGGGAGCCCCAGGGGTCAGTTGGATGGCCTGAGCCTTTAATGCACCTTCCAGGTGGTAAGGGCGCAATTGCACCCTAGAACAAGAGGGCCTCAGCAGCCAGCCCCACCTACACACAGATTTATGGGACACTTCGTGACCATTCCACAGCCCAGGTCCTGCCCTGGGCACTGTACAGGTGCCTATCTCCTCACCACTGTGTCCGAGACACAGCATTCACCACCATGTAACTTTTACAGTTGGAATCCAGGCTGCCTGGCTCTGGGACAGCGATGGGGAGGTTGAGTACTTGGCACTGACCTGGCCAGATAGTGAGACCTCGGCCTGCAGGTCATCACTGCCCCACCCTCCCAGGCCCACAGTATTCCCCTCTGCAACAAGGGTCTGAACCACCAAGCTGAGGCCGAGGAGCAGGGATCATGGAGGGCTGAGGGTAAGGAAGAACCTCCTACCTGTAAACAGCAGAGTGTCTAGACACTGCTATCCAGGATTAAAACACCCCCTTTCTTGTGCCACAGAGTTGACAGGGTCCTAGCTGGAGTCCTGTGCTCCTGGTTTCCCCCAAGAAGCCAAGGAGCCCTTGCCATTCCAGGGGTGTGGCTGAGATGCTCACCCCAGAGCGACTCCTCACATCAGTCTGGTTCCTGACAGCTTGGGAAAGGCTATCCAACAACCCAAGGGAAGGGAACCTTTTAGCACCCAACACAACACAAGGTTTTCAGGAGTGTGGAAACACAGAAGGATTGCTACCTCTCCAGGGCAGGAAGGAGCCACTTAGAGCAGGAGCAGGCTGTGGCCTCTGCTGACACTGAACAGGATATTGGGCCCTGACCCCAAAGAGAAGACAGTCCTAATCTGTGACCTGGGAAAAACTCACTCATTTCTCTTAAAAACCTGAGCAAAAAACAGAAATGGTGGAGGTACGATACCCCAGATTTCAACTGGTAACAGTCCTTGAGAGACCTCCCACCTCCCCTGCCACTAAGAAACTAAGAAAGAAGGCTGCCCACACTTAAGGGTACACTGTAGGGGGGGTCGGGTGCTAGGACCCCTTCTGAGTCCAAACAGAATGGGAGGCAAATTGTGCTTCCCACCCAGCTTGTCACTTCCTAAAAGTGGGAGACAAGGTAAGAAAGCCTTATCTGCTGGTCTGAATTTTCCCACTGCGGTGATATAGAAACATTCACCTGAGCTGTTTAAAGGATTTAATTTGGAAATATATACCACACACCCCTATAATTTAATCCTCACAACCAGACAGTACACAGAGTTCAGATCCTATAAAGTTCTTCACTTTCAGGTAACAAAACAGGTTGAGACTGGACCAGCTCACACAGCTGGTGGGGTGGCCGAGGGGAGCCAGCTTCCCAGAGAGATATCCTGACCCCAGGAATCCCAGATTCACTGGCAGAATTACTCCTGGTGCCCAACCACAGGCCCCTGCTCCGATGGCAGCCGCGGCCTGGAGAAACGCTCACCGGATCTCCGCTTCATGACGATCACCACGCCTTTGCCATCCGCTGCCGGCTCCACGCCCACCGTCTTGCGGTGAATCAGCCCGTTGTAGCGGAAGGAATTGCGGGCCTTCAGATTATTGGGTTCCTGGGAAGGACACATTAGGAGGTCGTGAAGATGGAGAGGACCGGCGACAGCGGGGGTGCCTCCCTCAGACCCAGGCGCCAGGGCCCCACTTACGGTGCTGTACGTCTGCTTGTTCCTCTTTATCAGGAAACTGGAGCAGTTCCGTACAACCATCCATTGCAGATGGGCGGACATGGCGACAGCTGTGGAGAAAGGGGTACAGGAAGATGGCAAAGGGAACAGCAGGCCGACGCCAGCCCCGCGCAAGAAACAGAGAAAGGATGTATCTGGGGACCTGGTAAATGGGGGAAACCTAAGAGCAGACAGCACTTAGTAATTTGCCAAGAGGTGCTCGGCGACCTAAGGCGGCGGGGCTGAACGCAGGCGCCGAGACTAACTGCGGGGGGCGACGTGAAAACCCACAGCAACTTCGGGCGGGGCCAGGGGGGCGGCCAAGGACGCGAGGGACAATTAGAGAAGCCGACAGGGGTAAACGCTGCGGAGCAGGCGCCGCATGCAGCCACGCAGAAGGACGAAAGGCCTCAACCCACCTCCTCTTGGTGCCTCAGCGGGAGACGGAAAAAGGAGGGAAGAGGCGGAGCGTCACCTTTAATACCCTCACGCATTTCCGCTTCCTTTCCAGGAACGCGCGCGTCGTCGCTTGACCTCCGCCTCCTCGGCGACTCGGCGGCATTCGGTTATTTCCGCCAGCCCGTCGTACTACGCTCGGGAACCTTCGGAACCCTTCGGCTAAAGACCCGAGGGTGTGTTCTCCGACGCCGAGCATCAGGCTTCCGGGGCTGGTCGCTTGTTTACGGAACTCCAGGGCTGAATTTCCCATCCGGTCTGGTCTGGTCCGGCTCCGGGGGTCCCAAGGGACATTCTGCAGCGGCCTCTCCCCGATATTGTTCACCCAGCGCTTGACACAGAATGGGCGCTCAATAAACGTGTTTTAGGATTTATGTTTGTGAACGAACGTGCGAGTGCATAAACTGTTTAAGCCTAGCTCCGGAATCCTCGCGTTTATTCGGTCTTTATAAATACCCTGAATCTCACCGCGGTGTTAGGAAGTCCTGTAAACTGTCCATCTTTGTGTCCCCAATTCATTCGCTGGAGGCACCTAGGAGGCGCCAGGGGACGCGCGCAATGAGCTGATTCCCTGCGTCCCAGAGCTCCTTGGGGTCCAGGACCATGTTTGACCCTTGTTTTTGACCCCCCCGTCCCCACTTTGGGTGCACAGGAGGCCCCAAGAGGCGGACTGAGCAGAAAGAGACCGGGTTATCCACAGCGCCCTGCGCTGCCTCATCGTCGAGCCCTGTTGACCCATGTCGACCATGCAGTGCTCCCGCTCTTTGGGGTGCAGGAGCGCTGGACAGCCCTTATCCCTGAGGGCCAGGCCCTGCACAGGAACTGCGGCCAGGGTGCCCCGTGCCGGGCCCGTCCGCTCCCGCCGGGCTCAGGTGACCAGGCGGGCGCCGGACACACCTGGCGCGGTCCCCTGACCCCGCCCCTGGACGGGCGGCACCCAGAAC